TGGGGAGGCCCTGGTGCTGCCCATCCAGCACCTCAAGGGGTTCAGTGTGCACTCCAGCCCCTGCCCCAAACACCTCGTGCGGAGTTTGGATGCTCACTGATCTCTGCAGGGTCGTGAGGCTCCTGGAAAAGAGCTGCTGAAGGAATGATTACACCAGCTTGTTGGAGAGGTGTTGCGGGGGCACCGTGTCCCACTGGTGGGCTCGGAGGGGACCTGGGGCTCCCCATGGGCTGGAGCTGCCTGCTGCTGCCCTGGCCTGGGGGCAGGAACAGCCCTCCCTGGGGTTTTCCCCCAAGTGTTTAATTCCCTCTCCTGGTCCGGGTTTCTCTGCAGCTCCCAGCCTGTCCCTGCGCTGTGGCCCCGTTGTGCTGGGTTTGGGTGTGAAGGGGAGCTCGGCATTTGGCACCACTGGTCCTCGCTGGTGAGGGGTGTGGTTGAGCAGCATCTGAGGGCACAGGGTTGTTCCTGGAGCGTTGCTGTGCTCTGGCTGCTCTCTGGGGCTGCTGGCAGCTGTTTTAAATCTGGGGCAGGCGATGCCGGGGCCGTTGGCAGCTGCCGACCTCTCCGGGGCTCTCGCTGAGCTCGAAAACGAGCAGAGCCCTTTCTGCTCACCTCACCCTCCTGCACCCGTGCTGGCTCCCAGGCCCTTCTGGTCCCTCAGCCCCATCACATGAGGGTCTCTCAGCCTTTGGTGGCCCTGTGGCAGGGTAGAGCTGAGCCCTGGGGTGCTCCGTGGGGCCTGGCATCGTTCCGGAGGCGCCTGCGACGCTGCAGGTGACACCGCGGGGCTGGATCAGACTCGGTCCGTGTTCCCTGTCGCTCCTGTTTTTCCTGCACTACCCAGTGCTTGTGGTGCTGCCGTGCTCGGAACATGGGAAGATATAAGACATGGATATAGGGTGCCCTGGAAGGGTCTGGAGTTGGGGCGAGGCTGGGTTTCCCTCCCTTTGCACCGTGTGCTGAGGAACAGGTCTCAGGGCGCTTTGGGACTGGTCTTGCTCTCCCCAGAGCCTGGCAGCCCCTTGGGACGTGGTCCCAGCAGCCCAAGGCACAGCTGTCCTACGTGGGCTGAGGTGGGACACAGGCTGTCAGACATAAACTCTCCTACTTCTCCTTTTTCTTCAATTTCTCTTCTCTAGATCCACTAATTTAACCCTTTCCAGAAAGGAGCAGCAGCAGCTCTATCCTTGCTGCACAAAGCAAACCTGTGCTTTCTGGACTGAGCTGGAGGGGCAGTTGCTGGGACTCCTTGTCTGGATCAGTGGAGCAGCCTCTGCCAGCCTGGGATCAGCAGCTTTTCCTCTCCCTGCCCACAGGGCTCTGCAGGGGCAGCGTGGCCCGGCGGGGCTGCCTGGCCAGGCCTCTGGTGCAAGCCTGTTCATGACTCCTGCTGTGGGAGGGATCATCTCCAAAAAGTGCTGGGGGCAGCAGTGGTGGTGTGGGCTCATCTCACGAGCAAAAAGAGCTGTGGTGATAATGGAAGTCCTTGGGGAAAGAGATGGGAGGCGGGACTTGGTGTTGCTTTGGCTCTTGGTGCTGTGCTGGCCTTGCTTCCTGGTGTCCCGGCTTTGTGGGTACATTTCCAGCAGCTTCTGCCCCAGCGAGGCCAGGAGGGTGATGGGCAGCAGGTGCAACTGGGAGCCCCAGGCTCTGTGCTCCCCTTCAGTGCCTCGTGCCTCTGGTGGGACAGAGCTGGGCACAGCTCCTCTGCCAGGCTCTGCTGCCCTGGCTGCAGCATGCGGGGACCGTTCTCAGCTTTGCAAAGGATTTGGGGAAGTTGCCATTTATAGAAGATGCTGGGATGTTCAAAAGGGAGATCCAGGGCAGGGTGGAAGGTGGCAGCTCTGCTCCCTGCCAGGGCACAGCCAGCATTCTGGTGCTGGGAGGATGCCCAGGCCACCACCACAGGCCTCAGCTCCTGGGCCAGCCCAGAGATTGCCCATCTGTGACCTCTCAGTGGTTTGGTGGGGCTGCCATGGATCCTCTGGTGTTCCTGAGCTGCTGCTCTTTGCTGTCCTCTGCCCATCACACTGTGTCCTTTGAAGCTGGCCTGGCTGCCTCCTCCCACCTCCCTGGGTCGTGGCAGAGCCAGAACCTCCTGAAGTGGGTTGCACAGATTGATCTGATCGCTCTGCCTGTGCGTCTTGGCTCTGGCACCACGTTCCTCTTCACCCCCAGGCAGGAGCCTTCCCAGTGTCTGCAGAAGAAACAAAGGTGTGATGTTCTTGCCTCACACAGCATGGTGGCAAGGGTGAATTAATTACTGTTTGCAGAGAGGTGGGAAGAAGCGCTGGGGGGAGATGTGGTGGAGGTTCTGCATGTTCTCCACATCTGGTCCCAATCCTGCTGTGTCCTGTGCTCTTCACCTGTAATGAAGGGGACCAGGAGTGCTGTAACACCAGGTCTGAGGCCAGGAGATGCTGCAGAGCTGGGGAGGAGGAAGGACAGTGCATTTCTGCAGCAGGTAGCATGCTCCAGAAGGCTGAGGACAAGGCATCAGCTGCAGGGGCTGTGAGGAGCAGGGTCTTCCTGGTTCATGCCATCAAAGGCTCCTCCAGAAATCTGTGCTTCCTCTTTACTGGGTTTGCATAACTGGGAGCTGGGCACTGCAAGCACAGGGTTCCATGGGCAACTGGAGAAGTTGGCCAAGGTGATCAACTGCCTTTGTCCTCATGGAAGCCACTTTATGTGCAAGCAGGTGCTGGGAATCAGCAAGAGGATGAGCTGTGCTGGGTCTCTTGTGTCTTGCCTTGGTCGCAGCAGGAGCAGAGGCTGGAGGGGCACGTCCCAGCCCTGATCCACCTGCAAAGTCCTGCTTGGTGGTGCTAAGAGAGGAAGGTCAGGGAGAGCAGTTACCTTTCCTGGGGTGCCACCTCCATCACATCATCCCAGGGAGAATCCCCTGGGATTCTGTTTCTGGCACCCTCTGTCAGTGTCACCTCTGCAGGCAGAGCTGGGCGGTGGCGTCAGGGGCTGCGACTGCTGGAGAACACCCAGAATGAGGTGTTTGTGTGGCTGTGGGTTGTCCTGATGAGCTTGTGACACTGGGGACTCTGAGCTCTGGCAAAGAGCCGTAATGTAGAGACTGAGCCACTCCTGGGCTCTGGTGGGGCTGCCCTACCCTACTTTTGGAGGTGTTTAATTTTGGATCTCAAAAAATGCTTTTAAAGCCACATCACAGGATCACAGCATGTCAGGGGTTGGAAGGGACCTCTGAAGATCATCCAGTCCAACCGCCCTGCCAGATCAGGACCAAAAGTAGGGCAGATCCCTCAGAAAGGCATCCAGACAGGGCTGGAAAGTCTCCAGAGAAGGAGACTCCACAGCCTCTCTGGGCAGCCTGTCCCAGGGCTCTGTCACCCTCACACCAAAGAAGTTCATCCTCATGTTCAGGTGGAACTTCCTGGGCTCCAGTTTGAGCAGTTATAGACTTGTAGCAAAGTCTGGCAGCTTGTTTTCCTCCTCCCTTGTCATTAGCTCTGCTCACCAGCCCTTGGCAAGGAAAAACATGGGCATGTCAACCACTGCCACCAAGGCCCTTGAGAAGGGACCCCAGCTGTTTCACTGGGAGCGTTTGTTCCGCGCGATGCCAGCGCTGCTGGCTCTGCCTGGGAAGGCTCCCGGAGCTCTGCAAGAGCTTTACCATAAGGTAAAAGCCTGGTTGGGATTGACATGAGTTACAGAGGTACCTGATGACCTGGAGGTGTTCCAAAGCCCTGTAGATGTGCTGAGGGACATGGTTTAGTTTAGCGCTGGACTCAGTAGAGGTGGGTTAATGGTTGGACTCGATGATCTTAAAGGTCTTTTCCAACTAGAACAATTCTGTGATGCTGTGACCCAGCAATGGGGGACAAGGACATGCCTGTGGTGGGGCTTGCTGGTGATGCCAGGTGGCCCCATGTCCTCTCCACAGCCTCTGCCTGGCCTGGCCACGTTCTGGCAGGTTGGGATGGACCAGTTTCAGAAGGATGAAGTCATGTGGGATGATGTTTTCACAGTGGGCTTGGGTGGGAGCTTGTGGAGACTCATCTTCAAGGCCAGACTGGATGGGGCTTGGATCAGTCTGATCTAGTGAGGTGATCAACTGCCTTTGTCCTCATGGAAGCCACTTTATGTGCAAGCAGGTGCTGGGAATCAGCAAGAGGATGAGCTGTGCTGGGTCTCTTGTGTCTTGCCTTGGTCGCAGCTGGAGGGGCACGTCCCAGCCCTGATCCACCTGCAAAGTCCTGCTTGGTGGTGCTAAGAGAGGAAGGTCAGGGAGAGCAGTTACCTTTCCTGGGGTGCCACCTCCATCACATCATCCCAGGGAGAATCCCCTGGGATTCTGTTTCTGGCACCCTCTGTCAGTGTCACCTCTGCAGGCAGAGCTGGGCGGTGGCGTCAGGGGCTGCGACTGCTGGAGAACACCCAGAATGAGGTGTTTGTGTGGCTGTGGGTTGTCCTGATGAGCTTGTGACACTGGGGACTCTGAGCTCTGGCAAAGAGCCGTAATGTAGAGACTGAGCCACTCCTGGGCTCTGGTGGGGCTGCCCTACCCTACTTTTGGAGGTGTTTAATTTTGGATCTCAAAAAATGCTTTTAAAGCCACATCACAGGATCACAGCATGTCAGGGGTTGGAAGGGACCTCTGAAGATCATCCAGTCCAACCGCCCTGCCAGATCAGGACCAAAAGTAGGGCAGATCCCTCAGAAAGGCATCCAGACAGGGCTGGAAAGTCTCCAGAGAAGGAGACTCCACAGCCTCTCTGGGCAGCCTGTCCCAGGGCTCTGTCACCCTCACACCAAAGAAGTTCATCCTCATGTTCAGGTGGAACTTCCTGGGCTCCGGTTTGAGCAGTTATAGACTTGTAGCAAAGTCTGGCAGCTTGTTTTCCTCCTCCCTTGTCATTAGCTCTGCTCACCAGCCCTTGGCAAGGAAAAACATGGGCATGTCAACCACTGCCACCAAGGCCCTTGAGAAGGGACCCCAGCTGTTTCAATGGGAGCGTTTGTTCCGCGCGATGCCAGCGCTGCTGGCTCTGCCTGGGAAGGCTCCCGGAGCTCTGCAAGAGCTTTACCATAAGGTAAAAGCCTGGTTGGGATTGACATGAGTTACAGAGGTACCTGATGACCTGGAGGTGTTCCAAAGCCCTGTAGATGTGCTGAGGGACATGGTTTAGTTTAGCGCTGGACTCAGTAGAGGTGGGTTAATGGTTGGACTCGATGATCTTAAAGGTCTTTTCCAACTAGAACAATTCTGTGATGCTGTGACCCAGCAATGGGGGACAAGGACATGCCTGTGGTGGGGCTTGCTGGTGATGCCAGGTGGCCCCATGTCCTCTCCACAGCCTCTGCCTGGCCTGGCCACGTTCTGGCAGGTTGGGATGGACCAGTTTCAGAAGGATGAAGTCATGTGGGATGATGTTTTCACAGTGGGCTTGGGTGGGAGCTTGTGGAGACTCATCTTCAAGGCCAGATTGGATGGGGCTTGGATCAATCTGATCTAGTGGAAGGTGTCCCTGCCTATGGCAGAGAGGCTGGGACTAGATGAGCTTTAAGGCCGTTCCAACTCAAACCAGTCTGAGTCTATGATCTGAAATGTCTCTTACTGGATCATTCCTCCAGTTGCAGGTTTGGTTTGTGGTTTGACTACGTCTGGGAATTGGGGGACTTTGGGGGTTTGGCCTTAGGTTGTCAGCATCTCCCTGAGCAGGAGCAGATTCAGCTCAGCTACCTCTTGGGTGTGGGGATGTGCTGGAGAAGGGGGTTGTGCTGCTGGGAGGTTGTGTCTCCCTGGTTCCTGGTGTTGCAGCTGGTAGATCTCTCTGCCATGTGGCTTCTACCAAATCCCAGTCCTGGGAGGCTGCCCCATCCTCCTGGTCAGGGCTTTTAGAACCTGCTGCCTGGGAGTCCCCAGGGTGGCTTAGGTGGGGTTGGGGGCTTGGGACAGCAGCAGGACAGGTTGGTCCCTGGTGGGACCATGGTGCCATCCCAGCTCTGCTCCCCAGTCCAAGAGCACCCACCAGCACGTGGTGCCAGCAGAGGCTCTGCACAGTGCCCGGGTCCTGCTGCAGATTCCAGCCTGTGGCCCCAGGCAAGCAGCTTCGCGGGCTGATTCCTCCTTTTCTGTGATGTTTCCCCTGCAGCCCCACTGCCCCAACCCTCTTCTTTTACACCAGGATTGGATAACAGAGCCCTGACCTGTGGTGTCTTCTGGCAGCCGCAGGTCCCTCCTGCCCTGCTGGTTTGAGGAGGGGGGAGCGGGCCCAGGGGGGCACCCTGTGCCTCAAGGTTTCTGGCTGTGCCCCTACGAAGGGTTTGTGAGGAGCAGCCTGGAAAAGCTCTCCCTCCGTTTTGTGCTGCTGTGGCAGCAGTTTGGTCCCAGCAGGGGTGAGGAGGAGCCCTGCTGGGCCTTGTCCCATGGACTGATGGCTCCTGAGCAGCTCCTGGTGCAGCTCCTGGTACAGCTCCTGGTACCTTGGGATCTTGAACTTGCCTCTTCCTGCTGCCAGGGTGAATTTCAGACCTTGGGTGTGAGGCTGGAATCCACAGGAGGCACCAGCACAGCCCCTGGTGGCCCCCAGCCTGGCACCCTTGCCCACTCCCACTGTGCTGGTCCCAGGGGAGCAAGGTACCAGGATAAATGGGAGGGAAAGGTGGGAGCTGCGGGCACCTCACTCCAGACAGCCCGGAGGAGCTGGCACATGGTTAAACATGAACTTCACCTCGGATGGGTGCTGGTTCTGCCCTTCCCCAGGGACTGGGCTTTCTCCACCATATGCCCCAGCCATAAATACACCTTCCAGTTGTTGTCCTAAGTTAGGAAAAGCCTGGACAAACCCTTCTCCTCCCACATTCCTCCTCCACATGTCCCTGCAGCCTCTCAGCAGCTTTTCCAGCTCTGGGGACCAGGGCAGCTCTGTGCCATTCCCAGTCTGGCTGAGCCTGGCCAGTCACCCCAGGGCTTGAATTTGGGGTCATCCTGCTGCTCCCAAGCCAAGAGTGAATCCTTGGGGCAATGCAAGGCAGGAAGAACATTTATTTGATTGCAACAAGTGCTTGGAGGTGGCCTTCTGATGCTTTCAGCCTGTCTTCTATAAAATCCAGAGGGAGGGAGATACCAGCAGGTCTCCTGCCTCCCACCTCCATCTGGCTGCTTCTCTGCCTACTCCCCTGCTAGATTCCCCTCCAACCTGCCTTTCTCAATCCTGGGATCTCTGTAGGCAGCAGGTAGGACCTACCTGGAGCTGCCAGCACCCCAGGGCAGCCTGGAGCCAGGCAGGGGCCATGCTGGGTGGTGCAAGCTGCTTCCAGGGGTTTGTGGAGGAACTATCTGGAGGGGCTGGTGTCATCACCCATTGGCTCCCTGGATGTGGCTGTTGAAAGGGTTTAGTGCCACTGAAGGGCCAGGCTGTGACACCCAGGACAGCTGCTGCTCACTTAGACAGTTCTTGTTATTTCTGAAGCTTAGTGCCATGTGCTTGGGTCTCCAGGAGTCATAGAATCACAGACTGGTTAGGGTTGGAAGGGACCTTAAAACTCATCCAGTCCCACCCCCTGCATGGGCAGGGACACCTCCCACCAGCCCAGGTTGCTCCAAGCCCCATCCAGCCTGCCCTTCAACACTGCCAGGGATGGGGCAGCCACAGCTTCCCTGGGCAACCTGGGCCAGGCTCTCACCACCCTCACACTCCAAAATCCCCTCCTCATGTCTCACCTCAATCTCCCTCTGCCACTTTTCATCCATCCCCCCTTGTCCTCTCCCTCCCTGCCCTTGTCCCAAGTCCCTCCCCAGCTTTCCTGGAGCCCCTTCAGGCACTGGAAGCTGCTCTAAGGTCTCCGTGGAGCCTTCTCTTCTCCAGGCTGAACACCCCAACTCTCCCAGCCTGGCTCCTGAGCAGACCTGCTCCAGCCCTCTCATCATCTCCGTGGCCTCCTCTGGCTTTGCTCCAGGTTCTTCTTGTGTTTGGGATCCCAGAACTGGCCCCAGCCCTGCAGGGGATCTCACCAGAGCAGAAGGGCAGGATGCACAACCCCTGTTTGTGCTCTGCTCTCCAGCTGGGCAGCACAGGTGGGTTTACCTGCTTGGGACTGACCTGCCCAAGCATTCTCCAGCCCAGCCCTGGCTGAGTCCCTTCAACCATGTGGAGCTCTCCCTATTCCAGCCCTGCAGATGGAAGAGCAGCCCAGCCCTTCCTCAGGGGGTGTCGGGGAGTGTCCCGGCCCTGCCGCGTGGGGCTGTTCAGGGATGTTGATCAATGTGCATCTGCAGCAGCAGCGCTGGCAGGGAACCAGGACAAGGCTCTGGTGGCAGCCTGGACCCCTGCAGGCTCCCAGCTGGACAGGTTGGATTGATGGGCCAAGGCCAATTGTATGAGGTTCAACAAGGCCACGTTCCGGGTCCTGCCCTTTGGTCACAACAACCCCAGGCAAAGCTGCAGGCTTGGGAGTGAGTAGTTGGAAAGCTCTCTGGTGGAGAAAGGACCCAAGGGTGCTGGTTAAGAGCCAGATGAACATGAGCCAGCGTGTGCCCAGGTGGCCAAGAAGGCCACCAGCATCCTGGCCTGCAGCAGAAATAGTGTGACCAGCAGGAGTAGAGAGGTGATTGTGCCCTGCACTGGTGATGCTGCACCTCGATCACTGGGGTCAGTTCTGGGCCCCTCAGCTCCTGAAGGATGTAGAGTTGCTGGAATATGTCCAGAGGAGCTACCAAGCTGGGGAAAGGTCTGGAGAGCAAGTCCTATGAGGAGAGGCTGAGGGGAGATCTCATTGCTCTCTGCAACTGCCTGAAAGGAGGTGGCAGGGAGGTGGGAGTTGGGCTCCTCTCTCAAGTGAGTAATGACAGGACCAGAGGAAATGGCCTGAAGCTGCACCAGGGGAGGTTTAGCCTGGAGATTAGAAGGAATTTCTTTACCAAAGGAGTGGTTGGACAGTGGAACAGGCTGCCCAGGGAGGTGGTGGAGTCACCATTCCTGAAGTGTTTAAAAGAAATAGAGATGTGGTGCTGAGGGACATGATTGAAGCACGGAATGGGTAGATGAGGTTATGGTTGGTGGATTTAGGTTGTGGTTGCACTTGATGGTCTTTAAGATCCTTTCCAACCAGGATGATTCTGTGGCTTTATGACTTTCCTTTGGGTGCCCCACAAAGCTAGGGGGGTGCATGGGAAGTGGGAGGCAGGAAATCATTAGCCTTGTGTGGAGCTGGGGGTGCCCAGCAGGCCGAGCGATGCAGTTGGTGCTCATGTTCAGGGAAGTTCAGGACCCAGCAGGTCCAGTAAGCAGGGCTGGGGCTCCTGGGAGTGGTGCTGAGTCTGCTGCACCTCAACCAGAGCAGAGACCAGTCCTGGAAAAGGAGCAGGAGCCTTTGCTGGGCAGGCACTACAGGGACTTGCAGCTGGAGCCCAGTGCCCCCAGTGAAGTCCCTGGTCTCCTGGTCCCAGCCTGGCCCCTGCCTGCTCAGTGGTGTTCCTGGTGTGAGACAAGCAGGTCCTCCCAGAATGGGAAGAGCTGGTACCCCCTGAGCACCCCTGGCCCATCTGGCCAGGGCACATCCTCCTCTCTGCTCTGGTCCCTGGGGACAGGGAGCAGGGGGGGTCTCTGCCCCAGCTCCCCTGTTCCTCTAGGTCATAACTGCTATAGAGTCAGGGTTGTGTCCCGGGTTTGGCTGCTGGTTGAGAGGTGTCCACACACCCGCAGGGTCCAAACAAGCCTTTTCCTTCCCTTCCATCTTCAGTGTCTTTCCTTACCCCTCCCCAAACACCTTTTGGGTGAACCTGGCTGCCCGTGCCCTCAAGGACCCAGAGGTGCCCCCATGGCTGCTGGTCCCAACCCCTCTGTGCTCACGTGTCCCCAGCTCCTGATCCCCACAGTGGTGTGGAGGAGGTGGTGGCAGAGCCTTCTTCTGTGCCTGGGGCCTGGAGAGTCTTGGACAAGCCAGTGCAACCCCCATGACTGAGCTGTCACGTCACCCCCCCCCGGCTGCCTTTGGGGTGGGGGGGACCCCTTTGCCCCAGGACGTGTGTGCTGCACCTGCAGAACCACAGGGATCTGCTGGTTCCTGCTGGTTCCTGCATCTGCACCTCCCGCCCTGGGCGAGCAGAGCGTCCCCACAAGGTTTCTGTTTTGACGGATGATTTTTTATTTCCTTCTGGCTCCGCAGGCTGCAAAATCAAAGCCCTACGTGCCAAGACCAACACGTACATCAAGACGCCGGTCAGGGGCGAGGAGCCCGTCTTCATCGTGACCGGGAGGAAGGAGGATGTGGAGATGGCAAAGAGGGAGATCCTCTCGGCCGCCGAGCACTTCTCCATGATCCGGGCGACGCGCAACAAAGTGAACGGGCTGACGGGAGCGATGCAGGGACCCCCCAACCTGCCGGGACAGACCACCATCCAGGTGAGGGTCCCGTACCGGGTGGTGGGGCTGGTGGTGGGGCCCAAAGGAGCCACCATCAAGCGGATCCAGCAGCAGACTCACACCTACATCGTGACGCCCAGCCGGGACAAGGAGCCCGTCTTTGAGGTGACGGGCATGCCCGAGAACGTGGACCGGGCGCGGGAGGAGATCGAGGCACACATCACCATGCGGACAGGCTCCTTCATCGACGTCAATGCCGACAATGACTTCCACTCCAATGGCACTGACGTCTGCCTGGACCTGCAGGGCAGCACATCCAGCCTGTGGGCCAAGGCCCCCCACCCTGCCCGCCGCCCCGCGGGCGCCCTGCGCAACGACAGCCTGAGCTCGCTGGGCAGCACCTCCACCGAGTCCTTCTACAGTGGGCGGGTGCCCGACGCCAGCCCCACCCGCCCCTACAGCACCAGCAGCGGCCTCACCC